TTTTCTTGCTTTTCATCATTCATTCTTAACAGGAACAACACAACAAAAACTTTTTTTTTTTCTCTGAATCCGACATTAAAAGTACCCAAACAGACTTTAATAAGTACAGTCAAACCTGCCATGACGGCCACTTGTATAAAACGGTCACCTGTAAAAAATGACCACTTTCCGTTTCCCCCCTTGCGTTTTTTTCGATGTAATTTAATTGTGTAAAACGATCACCTGTCCAGCGCGGCCGCGCCTACCATATTTTATCAACCCACGGTCAAATTTACCTGCCTCAGGCGGCCAAGCGCGGTCTCTCATTGCCCGATGCTTGGTCAAAAATTTTGAAACAGTCCCTCAGCCTGTGGACGGGCCGTCATAATTCATTCACCTGTCGTTATTGTAGTCCCTCCAATGAATATTTATTTACCCAAGTTGTCCAATGGGTAGGCCTAAATAAATTTTCAACTGTTGGTGAGGGTAGCATGGTAATATATATGTCATGACCTATATAAGCCCCACCCACAACTCATGCACAAATCGTATGTGAGTTGACTGGTCATGGCACTGTTTCGTTTACCTAATCTGTAACAAAGTAACAATGGATGTTGACTTGAACTTGTGACAGAAGCGTCGCTCGTTCTCCGAGTGGTGGCGACCCATGTGTTTGTTTTACCATGGCACTAGGTCTTCATCGTCTTACTAACTTAGGCTACATAATATTTCGTTTATTTTACTCTAGCACAAAATCAGCATCAAAATGAAAGCTAACCAAAAAAACCCAAATCAACACAAAAAAACCCTTCTTACACCACACACCCCCCTTTTTCAAAAGACCCCGGGTGAAAACAACCCATGTCTCGCTAGGGGCTGAGGTTAGTGGCATGATCCGGGGGGGGGGTCAGGGCTAATGCTCCACAGCATCACGTTCGTCACTGTTCGTGTCCGAATGGTGATAGTGACAGTCACAGTCAGGGTTGTCAGTTTGGAGCCAAATCCCAGAAATTTGGCCCTTTTGGAAAGTGAAGAAAAGAGCTTGGATTGTTTAATTATTAAACTAGTTAACACAATTTAACGCTCTCGCCCATTTGTTCTGAATAATTTACAACCCTTCTACCGTCGTGCAAGAGCATTTATTTTCTCGTGCTTGCGTTTTGTTCAGTTTGTACACGCTCTCTGATCCTCTAACCATAATTTATTATGTGCAGACAGAGAGTGAAAGTGAGTGGTTGGTGGGTGCTCTGGTGTGGTATGCTTCTTCTTTCCATTCAAACCTATATCGTCTTTAGTTTATCTCCCCTCCTTCTTTTTAGTGTTTGTTACTCTCTTGTAACACCTCTAATCTTCGGCACTTATATGACCTTATTGTGTTGCAAGTGCCGTAAAACTGTACTAAAATCCTTTGAATTAGCCGGTGATCTTGTAGTTCGTTCGTTAAAGTCCACCACCCATTTGTTTACATCCAGAGAAGAAACCCGGAAGTCTTGATGACCAAATAGGCAACACAAAGAACAGGGATGCAATCTAACTGCAAAACATCAAATTATGGTAAAATTCACGGGGGCCCCTGAACCCCCCCTCCTCATATAAAATTGGCCGGCACTATTTCTCCGAACGTTCGGGAAAATAAAGCTGGGCACAATTTCTCCGAACGTTCAGGAAAATAAAGCTGGGCACTATTTCTCCAAACACTCTGAAATCACATCCTTTCCCGCAAATTTCGGATATTATATAGATCTATAATTATAGTATAAGCCTACCAAAGATTGTTCGTATACAATATGGTTCAATCGGTCCAAAAAATGTCCGCTGTAAATATTCATGTATAAAGAAATGCTACAGTTCCAAACAGTTTTTCGCTAGAGATATGACGTGTTGCCTATGAAGAGTGCTGCTCTTAAACTTGAATGTGTTGTGTTCATTCGTGTGCTGTCTAGATCTAGATCTACGGAGGGTTATTGATAACGACACATAGAATTAGCATCTGCGTTTGTCGCAGCCGTGACCAATCAATCGTGGCTTGATTTTTTGGCATTTTTTAGTCCCCGAATCGGAGAATAAAAGTCAAATAAAAAAAAAAGAAGAAAGAAACCGAACCTCTTTACTTTTGAAAGAAAGTTCACCTAGCTTCACTTCGTCTCTTTCTCACTTGTTGTCACCACGTTGATTTGTTGAATACGTTACATGCAGCTACTTTTATTTTTCCCTCTTTGTGGTGTTTGTTGAATACGTTACATGCAGCTACTTTTATTTTTCCCTCTTTGTGGTGTTTTATTTTGTTAGTGTGTATGTTTTTCGTTCTTGTTATTGTTCTGATATGTTGTTTTTCTATCAATTGTTTTTGTTGTGGGAAAAAAAAAGGGGGGGGGGGAATGTTGTATAGTGTAACGTCATTTAATTTGATGTTCCTACCTTCATAAGATTCTAAATATATATACATGTATATATAGATTTAAATGTGTTATGTTAGAGCGTACATTCCACCAAAACCGATTACATGTACTGACACTGGCAGGCCCCTTAATCTGTCCTCAGAGAAAATTGCATTTGAAAATAGCAAAAGTTGCAAGAAAAATTAGCAAAAGTTGCAAGACGTGTATAGCTAAAACAACGCCACGGAACTATTGGAATACATTGTTGCTATGCTCATTGCAATCAAAAGTAACCAATATGAATGTCTACCCCCCCAAAAAAAAAAAAAAAAAAAAAAAAAAAAACTACATGGAGGTTGCATGGTGTACAAAAATAGTTTGTCCCTGACACATGCGTCAGGTCCTTGCACTCTCGCTGACGTTGGGCAAGTGTGACCTGCGTGGTTTTGGGGCTATTCAAATATAATCTTACACTTTTTTTACACTATCCTGCCCCCCCCCCCCTAATCTATAGCCTCCTAGACTAAGATTTAAAGTCTTTCACAAATTTTTATACTAGTCTAAATCTATCTACCTGGTGCTACGGAACCAAGCAACCTAAGTAATCAGGCGACCGTGTTTACGATTGATTTACTCTAGATCTAGATCTTTCTCGACTAGAAGATGATTCTGTCCAAACAAGACTATTTGGTCCGTTTGCTCGCCAGATTGATAGTGCAAAGCGGCTATCGTGGCACAAGTCGATCGCGCCCGACTCGTTGCAAAACAAACACGTTGTTTTCAGGCAACGAGATGGGCGATCATCCCGACCCGACCTTACCGGGCCAGGGTCACTGACTGGGCGGCGGCATTTAGTGCAAAGGAGCGTCCTTGGCGTCTTTACTTTTAGTCGTTGAAGAAAAATTTGGTGTTTTTAATGAAATTTTATTATTTTCCCAAATTTTGTGGGAAATTGGCTAAAATTCGCGAAATCACGAAAATGATAAAAGTTGCGCAAAAGTTGCGCTGAGAGCAAAAGTTGCGCGCGCAACTTGCGGGCGCGAATTTCTCTGAGGACAGCTTAATGTGTGTGATTCCATAATTTACATGTAATATCCTGTACTTTGTTTTAAAATTACGCACATTTTTTGGGTTAAAACAGCCAATCTTCTTCAGACAGGTGGACTCACGCCCTTATTTGTTAATTTTTGTGGTTGTTTATGGGCTGTTCTAATTTTGATTTAATTCGATTGTGAAACCTTTATTTTCACGTTTTTACACTCATCTAAAAATTTCTAGACTAGCTCTTGAAAATTGAAATAGATATAGACCTAAAAATTTGCTCCTGTGTGTGTGTGTGTGTGTGTGTGTGTGTGTGTGAGTGTGTGTGTGTGTGTGTGTGAGTGTGTCTGTGTGTGGTAGTAAGTGTGTAAGTGGAGAGTGAGGAGCGTGTGTGTGTTTGTTTTTCGGGCTTTATTTCAGCCTTTATTCAGTAAACAGTTCAAAGTATACAAAAATAGAAACACAGGATCCATTCACTCCAGGGCTCATGAGTCGTTCCTCTCTTTCAGTTTCACTCATTCATTCAATTCCCGTGTTCTCTCCCGCGGCTCATCTCCGTCCGCATGACTTTCACACCCCCACCCCCTCCCTCCAGGCACACTCACACACAAAGAAAATCTCACTCATTCCCTTGCACCCTGCGAACCATGGACAACAATATTAGCAAAACACTGCCTTAGCCGCATTCCTTTCGTTCGTGAGCTGTGGACCAGGCCTGGGGGGTCGGTGTCGTCGCCTTGTAGTTGCTGTCGCCTGTGGATACACTCGTACATTCTTCCTTTCACCTGCTCTGTCACTCACACTGTCTCTCCATCCACAGCTCAGCTCGTCATACGTGCAAAAGTTGCCCACTGATTATGTTTAGTTAGTGTGTGTACATGTGCATGATGGTGGTGGGTGTGTGTTACAGACGGTTGTCTGTAGGCGGGCTTGCCATGCGGTGTTCCTTCCCAGACCAGAGGCAGAATGAAAGTTGGCGCCGAACTCTCGCAATAAATAGGCAAAAAATCACGAGACCGGAAGCCGGAAACCGTTCGGAGAAATAAAGATCGGCACTATTTCTCCGAACGTTCGGAGAAATAGTCACTTCGTATAAAATTAGGCCCCCCCTGAAACCCCCCTACTCTTGATTCTTGAGGCCCAAACCGGCGAATAATAATTGGGGGTGGGAACTGCCGAAAAAGGGCCATTCTTTGCTTAAATTTTGATTTTCTCCCGAAAGATTACCTGGCAATTCAGGGTCTCTGGTGTTCAGCTTTGGACTTTAATGAACGAAGAGCTACAAAATCGCCAATTAGCCTTACTCTAATCTAAAGTCTAAAGCCTGAGATCAGCCCCAGTTTGGACCTCGGAAGAGAATGGTTTGCTATTCATTTTGATCATACGGCCACTTTTCAGCTTGACAATAGGTGGCCGTTTTACACAGGTTTGACTGTATCAATTTTAACAAGTGGATAGCTTGCCTTGCACTTGCAGCAGCGACGTATGCAGTGGCGGGTTGGAAAAGAAAAAAAAGAAAGTGAAAGGGCAGCAGAGGAAAGAATTAGGTCTATTGGTTATTCATTATCATCAGATTATACCCAAAAAAATCAAGCCACAAACCTGTGAAAGAATCAGAACAAAAAAACCAAACTAAACCAAGACAGTCTCTGTCTTCAGCAAAGAGGTTTATAAGATCTCTCAAGTCTTGAAGATCAACTGCGTCTCACATTCACTTTCACACAACCTATCAACAGACTCGGTCGGACTATCTTCCAGCGACCGCAGTATAAAAAAATCTGTAGGCGTCACGCACTTCGGTGTTGAATAACTCAGAAAATTATGTAAAAGGGGTCATTGTATAATATTTATTATCATGTATACCTACAAGAAGTCCGAGGTGTCTTCCTGCTTAGCCTACCTAAGACTTAAGGATAACCATAGATGGGCCTAGCCCATAGATGTACAATATATCCTCTATGGCCTAGCCTAATGTTGAACTAGATCTAGGCTACGCTTGTGGGAGGCTTATGCTGCAAGCTTGCAGGTAAATATCTGACATAAGGAGTCCGAAAACCTAACTTAATTTATCGCAATATTAAATTATAAAAATAAAAGCATGCCCCTGAGACACATACACAAAAACGCAAACAACAAAAAGAGAGAAAGCGGGGCATGGGAGGGGGAGGGAGGCAGAGGGAGAGAGAGAGAGAGAGAGAGAGAGAGAGAGAGAGAGAGAGAGAGA